TGTCACTGCGTCTGTCCACTGCTCCTCTGCGTGCCCCTTTGCCTTCTCCTCCTGCTTCCTCTCTTCCTGCTCTGGCCGACCCGGAGTCGGACGCTCTTCGTGCTGCCAGTCCTACTGTCACGCGTCTCCTGGCTACTGCTGTCACTGACCCCTCCTTCGAGTCGTCTGCTGCGTCTGCCCTTGTCACTGAGCTTGTCGACTTTGCTGCGCGCTGTCGTCTAGACTACGCTGCTCGTCTTGTCACTGAGTCTGAGTCCGCCTGTCCTCCGTCCGTCGGGGGTGAGTGTGCCCTTGGCACGGACGTCCTTGAGGACAGGCAGGAGGAGTTCCAGTGTCTGGCCGCCGCTTCACCTCGTCTCGCGTCTGTACTGCTAGCCCCTGAGGGAGACCCGGATGCACCAGACATCCCGACTCCGCGCTCTTACGCGGAGGCGATAGAGGGTCCCTACTCCTCTCAGTGGCAGGCAGCTATGGATGCAGAGATGGCTTCCTGGAAGTCCACAGGCACCTACGTTGACGCTGTTCCCCCTCCTGGGGCGAACATCGTCAGTGGCATGTGGATTTTCAGGGTGAAGCGGCCGCCGGGTTCTCCGCCTGTCTTCAAGGCGCGTTACGTGGCTCGTGGCTTCAGTCAGCGGCAGGGGGTTGACTACTTTCAGACCTTCTCCCCCACCCCGAAGATGACCACTCTTCGGGTTCTGCTACACGTTGCTGCTCACCGTGACTACGAGCTGCACTCTCTCGACTTCAGCACAGCTTTCTTGCAGGGCAGCCTGCACGAGGAGATCTGGCTGCGTCGCCCACCTGGCTTCACTGGGTCTTTCCCTCCTGGTACCCAGTGGAGTCTCCGGCGTCCAGTCTACGGTCTCCGCCAGGCGCCACGTGAGTGGCACGACACACTGAGGACTACGCTCGCGGCACTTGGGTTTGCTCCTTCCACTGCCGACCCGTCGCTGTTTCTGCGCACCGACACCTCTCTGCCGCCGTTCTACATCCTCGTGTACGTCGACGACTTGGTCTTTGCCACAGCTGACACTGCTGGACTCGCCTACGTGAAGTCCGAGCTGCAGAAGAGACACACGTGCACTGACCTGGGTGAACTGCGCAGCTACCTTGGCTTGCAGATCACCCGGGACAGAGCACGCCGCACCATTACCCTGACTCAGTCACACATGGTGCAGCAGGTCCTTCAGCGCTTCGGCTTCACGTACTCCTCGCCTCAGGCCACTCCTCTGCCTACTCGCCACTCGCTCTCAGCTCTGCCTTCGGATGAGTCCGTAGAGTCGAGTGGCCCGTTTGCAGAGCTTGTTGGCTGCCTCATGTACCTGATGACCTGCACACGACCTGACCTCGCATACCCTCTTAGCATTCTCGCACGCTTTGTTGCTCCTGGGAGACACCGACCAGAGCACATGGCTGCAGCGAAGAGGGTGTTGCGCTACTTGTGCAGTACGTCGGGCATGGGGCTAGTGCTTGGAGGGCGCAGTCCAGTGGTCCTCACTGGGCACGCAGACGCTTCTTGGGCTGACGACCAGGCTACGCAGCGGTCGTCACAGGGTTACACCTTCAGCCTTGGTTCCGGCTCTGTCTCGTGGCGGGCTACCCGCTCGTCTTCTGTTCTCGGCTCCAGTTGTGAGGCTGAGATCTACGCTGGGGCTATGGCTGCACAGGAGTTACGCTGGCTCACCTACCTGCTGACCGACCTTGGAGAGCAGCCTCGTTCTCCTCCAGTCCTGTACGTAGACAACAAGGCCATGCTGGCCTTGTGTCGAGAGCAGCGACTGGAGCACAGAACGAAGCACATTGCTCTTCGCTACTTTCTTGCTCGTGAGCTACAGCAGCGTGGACAGCTGCGACTTGCGTACGTGGCCTCTGAGGCCAACACTGCTGATGTCTTCACCAAGGCACTTGCGCCTTGTGATCATCAGCGTTGCTGCACGCAGTTGGGTCTTGTGCCTGTCTTGCCTCACTTGCTCTCCTCTTGACCTTGCTTGTACTTTTGCATATATATACTCTTGCTCTTGTATATCTCTATATATGATCTTGCATGTGAACTGGCCTTGTGGCCTTTGAACTTGTGCTCGGAATGCGTGGTGACTTTGTGATCCACCCTGAGCTTTGCTTTGTTTTGCTTGACCGGTCTTGTGACCCCTTGTTCTCCCCCACTTTGCCTATGGGGGTGTGTCAGAACTTATAGCTTACTTGTTTCTGTAGGCTATAGTGGGGTATCCCATAGGGGGTACAACCCAATTAGGGTTTCCTATTTGTACTCACTTCGTTCATAGTCATTTCACTTCTCGTTCGTACTTTCTCATGCTGCAGCTGCCGCTGGGGGGGAGGGTGTGAGGGTGTGGGGGAGCCCGGGGAGGGACTGGGGGTGGTGGGTGTGGGGTTGATTGGTGATGTGTGGTCTCCCCTTCCCATCCTCCTCCGTTCGCCCCCCCTCTGCTGCTCCTGCAGCAGTGTGGGGGGGAGGGGGAGGGGGAGGGTGAGGGGATGTAGGGGGTGACCAACCAGAGCCTACCACCTCCTCTCCTCTCTCTCCCTCTCTCTCTCCTCTCTCCCTTCTGTTCTCTGTTTTCTGCACTGGTTGTCACTGCTCCTGCCTACTGCTGCTACTTCCGCTGCACTTTGCATGGTGTACCCTCTTTAGGGGGCGTTACTACACTCACACCTGCAAACAATTATGGGGGTGTGTCGAAATATGTTATTCATATTTATATAATTGTCTGTAGTGTTAGTGTAGTTATGTTTCCCATTTGGTGGTGCACCTCATTACCCTAGTTCTTGCCTATGTCTTTGTAGCTTTGCTCTTTATTGCATCCTTCTTCATTCTCTCCTTTTCAACTTGCTCGATACTCAATTCACTCGACCTACTAGCTATGGCTCCTAAGCCTTGCTAAATTTTTCACAATTATATATATAAATAAAACTCTTGCTTCATCAAATTATTTTCTCTTCTCCCTTCTATTTACTTCTCTTGTCATCTGTCTACTTAGTTTCATTCAGGATAGGAAATCGTTGCTTTTGTTTCTGTTTTTTTTTTTTTTTTTTTTTTTTTTTTTTTTTTTTTTTTTTTTTTTTTTTTTTAATTCCCTTTCAAAATACGCTATCGCTTTCCCAAAGCATACTGATAAGCTCAGCTAATGTTGCGTTGGTTTCAAACCTATTGCGTGGTGTCGGCTTATGAGTGTGTAAAAAATTGTGTTCCTTTTTCTCCCATTATGCCTTGTTATTTGTCATTTGCCTTCTCTTCCTCAACCCAGTTTTGTCTTGCCCTCCAGGCAGTCGAGCTCAATACGAGAAGTAGACTGATATTGTGTCAGAATCCCAGCCACTAACCACTGGGATAAAAGGGCTTGTTAAGTAGCGGGTCAGTGCGCCCATAACCCCCCAGGCCAACATGCCTGTAACCCTTCCCTAGGATCAATCAGGGATCCCCAGTGGACCTCTGACATATTGCTTGTGACTTACGGTATAGGATATATGATGTTTTGATGATTTATGTTTCTATTTTATCTGCGGTTTATATGCTTTGTCAAGTGGCTTCGTGCGTGCGCGTATGTGTGAATGTGTATGATCATTTGCATGTGTTGTGTTGTGTGCGTACCGTATGTGCTTTCATCCATGTTTCATTGCATCAACAACACATGTCTGTGGGTTTTAAAAAATGGGATCAAACTATCATTTCCGAGAAGGTTCTTTGCGCACTCAGTGAGTGTGTTCATTCGAACTGGTTTTGATAGAATTGACCTTTTTTTTAGATCACACAGATCGTGTTGTTTCATGTGACAGTTGGATGATTCAGGACCTATGCTATTGAGCTCCTCCCCATGCTAGGCAGGGGATGCGGTAGCATCGGGTCTGGGTCAATTAACTGTTACGCATTTTCGTCATGCTATGCATTCATTTTACTACCACAGTAGCATATGCATTATAATTATGCATTTTGCAATTACTTCATCTACGCATAACATCATCATGCATATGCATCACTGAATGAACAGTTATGCGTTCATAACACATTAAAAGAGAAGGAAGACAAGCTAGGAAAGAGAAGGAATGTGGTTCGGCACAAGGTAAATTGATGTGGCAAATACATAGAAGTCAGTCACTTTCAGCTACTCTTCATTAGATTTGTTTCATCCTTTATATTGTGAAAGTGTACTTAGGCTGACTGGCAAAGGCAGCGTTATCATTTCATATGGGTGGTAGTACATCGTTCTCGTCTTATATATGTCTACATAACAGCATACACAAATGGGTGGGCGGGTGGGAAATTAGAACTACAATTTTGAAAATGAAAACGTGGGTGGGGACGAATGTCCCCACGTCCCTCTTTTGTAGGCAAAAGAGGGTGAGTAGCGCTTCGGCGCTACCTTTGCTGTGTTGGCCACGTACCCCTTTTCACAATTCAAAATTTTAGAAAGTGTTACATTTCATTACACTTTCAAAAATTGTCATTTTTTTTAAGAGTAGAGGATGAAAAAAAATTGTACATAACGATCGTAATAGGTTGCTTCGCAACCCAAAAACTGTTGATTCGTGTGGCGGGGAATGTGTCCGCGCTTCTGAAATTACAGGAGGTTGGACTCCAGTCACAATGCATTCGTTTCTAGGTGCGGTGGTCATTTTACAACCTCGATACGTGCGTTGGCACGAAAAATCCTGAAATGAACGAATTGGACACGCCCTAAAAACGCAGCAAAAAGGCGGCAGCGGAGCTGTATGGCTCAACTTCGACCGAAGCTGTGACAATGAAATGCGTAAAACAAACAACCTGGTTATTGAGTTAGCATTTGGAGAATCACAAGGACTCTCGTGAAAAGTAAATGGAAACAAACTTTTTATAAACCCAACACCACCAGATTCAATCGCACAGCACATATTTGCATCCTCTAGTTACTCGTGTAGATGAACAAAATACCGTGCCTGTTTATGTACGCAAACTAACAGGGAACACGCGTACTGACAATGTAATAGATGTACAAAACAGTTAGCTAGGCGTCATCTTCGTCATCCTTGCCTAGGAAAGCAAGCATGGGGTCTTCTGCATGGATTCGCTTCATTCGGTATGCCTCCATGTCCTCCTCCGTCACCTGCAAGTACAAGCAAGCAGGGAAGGGAAAGCAGGATTAGGCAGTAAGTAGGAGAGGGGGATGCAGGGTGGGGCATGTGCATGGGGTCATCAGCATGAATTCGCTTCATTCGGTATGTCCCCATGTCCTCCTCCGTCACCTGTTAGTAGGAGCAAGCAAGGAAGAGAAGGGAAACGGAGAACCAGAGAGGGGTTAGCCAGGAAGAGGAAGGAGGGCCAAGGGGAGTTTAGAACGAGGTTTGTGAGGTTGGGAATAGGCATCAGGATCATCTGGCATGGATTTGCTTCATTCTATACGCCTCCATGTCCCCCTCTGTCACCTGTTAGGAGCAAGCACGGAAGGGAGACGGAATACTAGAACGGAGTTTGGTAGGATGTTGGTAGGAGGAGGGGGAAGGCGGGAAGGGAGGGTGTAAGAGGGGAAGGGGAGTTTGAAACAGGGTTTGTGAAGTACGGTGGGGGACTTGCTTAGGACTGCATCAGAGTTATTTTCAGCCATGGACTTGCTTCGTTTGGAATGCGAAACACGGCATTGTGTGTAACTGGAGAGTTTTCGACTCAACAATCAAGCAATAGCACTCACATCGTCGGAATATGTGACATCGTACTTGCGCTTGCGCTCGTCCTTCTCTCGACGGGGACAACAAGACGAGCATCGAGTTGACAGAAAGCAGAACAAGCAAGCAGAACCACTCACGTCGACAAGGAAAGCAGAACCACTCACGTCGACAAGGAAAGCAGAACCACTCACGTCGACAAGGAAAGCAGAACCACTCACGTCGACAAGGAAAGCAGAACCACTCACATCGACAAGGAAAGCAGAACCAGTCACGTCGACAAGGAAAGCAGAACCACTCACGTCGACAAAGAAAGCAGAACCACTCACATCGACAAGGAAAGCAGAACCACTCACATCGACAAGGAAAGCAGAACCACTCACGTCGACAAGGAAAGCAGAACCACTCACGTCGACAAGGAAAGCAGAACCACTCACATCGTCGGAATATGTAACATTGTACTTGCGCTTGCGCTCGTCCTTCTCCTCCCGAGCAAGTTCATCCTCCTGCCATTGGCAAGGGAACGAAAACGTGGAAAATAACACACAAAGGAGACACACAAAGTCAAACATTGGCAACAGGAAGGAAAATAACACAGAGCCAAACTTCTTAGGACGGAGCAGCAGCCGTGTCAGAAAATAGCACGTAGTCCCGACTCCCAACCTAAAATCACAGTTGGATCTTTTCTTAACACCTACACAATAAATGAGTTGTCCCACAACAGGACGAATCCCTCCCCCACACCACCTCACCTCTCTGCCCCCGCCACCCCCCCCCCCCCCCCCCCCCCCCCCCCCCCCCCCCCCCCCTTCCTCTACACACACACACACGCACGCCCTCTCTTACCCTCTTAAGGGCCACCCTCAGCTTCTTCTTATCCAGCTTGCATTCCATATCCACGTCTGTTCCTCACACCACTGGCTTCTTTCCTCATGCCACAGATTCTTCCCTCCCCTCACTGCTCTCCTCACTCACACGCACACAGGAACGCCCACACACGCAAACATACCCTCTTATAAGCCGCCCTCAGCTTCTTCTTAACCAGCTTGCATTCCATATCCGCGTCCGTGCCCCACACCACTGGCTTCTTTCCTCATGCCACAGATTCTTCCCTCCCCTCACTGCTCTCCTTCCTCATTGGCTTCTTTTCCTATTTTAACTTAATTCCGCGCAGTCACTCACTCACAAGCAACACAAACGCACACTCACCCTCTTCAGGGCCGCCCTCAGCTTCTTCTTATCCAGCTTCAGATCCATATCAGCGTCTGTGCCCCATGCAACTGGCTTATTCTCCCCCCTAACTGTTTGAAGAAGGGTTTTGAGACGTCTCAAAACCCTTCTTCAAACAGCGTCTGTGCCCCATGCAACTGGCTTATTCTCCCCCCTAACTGCCCTGCCCTTGTCTCACTCACACAAGGCCTTCTGCCATGAACCCCAGAGCAAGCAGCACACGCAACATACCCTCTTAAGAGCCGCCTTGAGCTTCTTCTTATCCAGCTTGAGATCCATATCCGCGTCTGTGCCCCACGCAACTCCTTTCTTCTCCTCTGTGCGCTTGGCCTTGCCCGCTCCCTCCTCCTCCGCCTCCTCTCCCTCACTGCCTTCTGCTTCTGTAGCAACCAACAGAGTGAAGAACGGGAGAATGAATGTGAGCATGAAGGGAAGGGAGTTGAGATCAAGATCAGCGTCTGTGCCCCATGCAACTCCTTTCTTCTCTTCTGCGTGCTTCGCCTTCCCCGTTCCCTTCTCATCCGTCCCCTCTCCCTCATTGCCTTCTGCTTCTGTGACAATAGCAACCAACCAAGGGAAGGGAGAACGGGAGAAAGGGAAAAACGGAGAAAGGGAGAATGGGAAGGAAGAAAGGACAATAGTGTTAAGGGACACGCTGAGGTTTCTCCCTGTTGGCTTGCATCAGATTGGCCAACGCCTCCGCAGAAAGAGAGAAAGGGAGAATGGGAATTAACAAAGGAAGAAAGAACACAAGTGTTAAGGGAACACGCTGAGGTTTCTCCCTGTTGGCTTGCATCAGATTGGATGGAGCCTCACCAGTAGCTTATGCGAGTGGTCTGGTGGAAGCACACATAGCCCCACACGGGCAGGGCAACCCGGACTGGCCAACCCAGCAACCCAGCAACCCAGCAAACCAAGCAGCAACCGCGCTACAACTGGCTTCACTGCAGCAGCATACTACACCTTCAGCAACTCCCCTCAGCTACTCATCACCCACCTTTAGCTGCCTTCAGCTGCTCGCGCCTTTCCATATTCGCCTGCATCAGATTCGCCGATGCCTCAGCAGCAGCGATGCCGCTGGCACCCGTGCAGTAGCAATGCACACACCCCAGTACCGCCCTCACTGCCCACCACCCACCTTTAGCTGCCTTCAGCTGCTCGCGCCTTTCCATGTTCGCCTGCATCAGATTGGCTGAAGCCTCGGCAGCAGCGATGCCGCTGGCCCCCGTGCAGTAGCTCATGCGAGTGGTCTGGTGGCAGCACGCGTACCCCCACACGCCCCCGCCCCACCAGCTGCCCCACACGGCTGTGTGGTTGTTGACTAATACGTCTTCTTCATACCGACTGCATGGCACTGCCTTGTCCTGGCAAGATGGGGAGGGATTGCAGCAAAGGGAGAAAGGGAGAAAGACTGTTAATAGCAGCAGCAGCACGCGTACCCCCCCCCCCCCCCCCCCCCCCCACCAGCTGCCCCACACCCCCGTGTGATTGTACACCAGAACACCCTCCTTGTACCGACTGCTGTAGTGTCACTTAACACACCTCTCAACGGCTGTCCCGCACGGTCGTACTCCAATTGCACCTCCGTCTGCCCCAGCAGCAGCCGCCGCAGCTCTAACGGAATCCCTTCATATCTCCAGAAAAAAGTAAGAACAGCAACTGTGGCACCACAGAACATACCGTACCCACCGTTATAAGCCAGAACATACCGTACCCACCGTTATAAGCCAGAACATACCGTACCCACCGTTATAAGCCAGAACATACGGCTACTTACCACAGTACACACCATACCCGTTATAAGCAAAAGCATGGGAGGTAATGCACCACAGTACACACCATACCCGTTATAAGCAAAAGCAAGGGAGGTAATGCACCACAGTACACACCATACCCGTTATAAGCAAAAGCATTGTGCCACTTACCACTCCTCTGAGTGGTCGTCCCGCTCGGTCATACTCCACTTGCACCTCCGTCTGCCCCAGCAGCAGCTCCTCCGGAATCCCCTCCTCCTCTGCCCCCTTATTACTCGCCGCGTTCCCATACTTAGCCAGAACCGACTCCTTACTCGCCCCCTTCAGCTTCTCCTTTTTGACCTTAAACTCCCGGTGCAGCAGCTCAGCCTGGCTCGGCGCGCCCTGTAAGTGCACGTCCACGTTGACCTTCTCCATGGCTTCCCACGCGTGCACGGTCAGCTGGCGGAACTCCAGGGCCTGCCCGCTGATGCGGTTGTGGTTGTCTCCCAGATAAAATTTATCCTTGGCGTCTCCTTCTGGGTTGGGATCCTCTCGCATGGAGCGGGTCTTCGGATCGTAATAAGCCGAATCCACATCCAGATTGAGAAGGTATTTCGCCGTGTCCTCACGAATACGCAGGTTTCTGGGGAGAAGGGGAGGGAAAGGGGTTGGAAATCAGGTGAAGGGAGTAAATGAACGTCCACGTTGACCTTCTCCATGGCCTCCCACGCGTGCACGGTGAGCTGGCGGAACTCCAGCGCCTGTCCGCTGATGCGGTTGTGGTTGTCTCCCAAATAGAACTTGTCTTTAGCATCTCCTTCCGGGTTGGGGTCCTCTCGCATGGAGCGGGTCTTGGGGTCATAGTAAGCCGAGTCAACGTCCAGATTCAACAGGTACTTGGCTGTGTCCTCACGAATACGCAGGTTTCTGGGGGGGAGAAGGGGGGAAGAAAGGGAGACAGGGCGAGATGAAGAAGGGGGCGTGCACGGTGAGCTGGCGGAACTCCAGGGCCTGCCCGCTGATGCGGTTGTGGTTGTCTCCCAGGTAGAACTTGTCTTTTGCGTCTCCTTCCGGGTTGGGGTTCTCTCGCATAGAGCGGGTCTTCGGGTCGCAGTAGGCTGAGTCTACATCCAGATTCAGGAGGCATTTGGCTGTTTCTTCACGAATACGCAGGTTTCTGTGAGGGAGGGGAGGGACGGGAGGGGTGGGAGGGGCAGGGTGGACACGAGAGGCAGCAGGGGCAGGAGGGAATATTGCCCATGTAGTAACACTGACTGTACAAACCGCACTGATCCTCACACGCACCATTCTGTAACGGAGCTTATCTTTCTGCACCTTTCTACACACCATCGAAAAATGGACTTACCGCACTGAACCTGTGCTGCCACCACCGGTCGTCCTCACACGCTTCTCCACCTTCCCGAAGTCCATCTGCCTGCTCTCATCAACCTTCGCATCATCCTCCTCCTCCTCCTCCTCTTCCTCCTCTCCCCCCTCCCTTCCCTCTCCCTCCTTCCCTCCTCCCTCCTTCCCCCCTCCCTCCCCATCACCCCCCTTCCCAGCAAGCTTCTTCAGCTGCTGCTCCTTCTGAAACTTCTTCCTCGCTTCGGCCCGGATGTCATACGAATCCATGGTTCGCTTGTACGTGGCAGCATCAAACCCGTTCCAGCGGTCGCGTTTGCCCTCGTAGTTGAGTTCGATCGACTGGATCTTCTCGTCCGCTGCGATGCTCTGGCTCGTCCACTTGGCACCCACCTTCCTCGGCCGCTCCACACATAGCTTGGCGGTATGGGTCATGGCGCCACAGCTGGTGGTTGGAAGAGGGGTGAGGGGACAGGGGGACGGTGTGGGCAAGGGAGGACGAGATAACCTCTCAGCACGTGCTCTGGCTCGTCCACTTGGCACCCACCTTCCTCGGCCGCTCCACACATAGCTTGGCGGTATGGGTCATGGCGCCACAGCTGGTGGTTGGAAGAGGGGTGAGGGGACAGGGGGACGGTGTGGGCAAGGGAGGACGAGATAACCTCTCAGCACGTGCTCTGGCTCGTCCACTTGGCACCCACCTTCCTCGGCCGCTCCACACATAGCTTGGCGGTATGGGTCATGGCGCCACAGCTGGTGGTTGGAAGAGGGGTGAGGGGACAGGGGGACGGTGTGGGCAAGGGAGGACGAGATAACCTCTCAGCACGTGCTCTGGCTCGTCCACTTAGCGCCCACCTTCCTCGGTCGCTCCACGCACAGCTTGGCGGTATGGTTCATGGCACCACAGCTGGTGGTGGGGCCAGAATGGGGGAAAAGGCATACTCTCACTAAGTGACTCGCCCTTTCCTCCAGCGTTCAACGCACAGCTTGGCGGTATGGTTCATGGCGCCACAGCTGGTGGGTCGAAAGACAAGGGAGGAGATAAAGCCAAACGCGAGAAGAGAGGGTGGGTGGGAGAGCGGGGATGGGGGGGAAGATGGCACTGCGCGCATAGAGTTGGCAAGAGGAAACGACTCAACTGGCTGGATAGTCACAGGGAAAACCACATGCATTAAGCTGAGGGCACGCACTTAGAAGTTCGTAGCTCCTCGGTCATACCACAGGTTTGTGTAGTTCCCCTCGCCCTATACTAGACTAGAGCACCACAGAGAGTGACGCACAAGCAGTGGAGGTAAGATAACGTAGTTGATGCCTTTAGACTAGAACTAAACCAACCTATGGTACTTGCGATACTTCTCAGCCTGAAAGCCTGAAAGCCTTTAGCTCCTCGGTCGTACCATAGGTTGGTGTAGTTCCCCTCGCCTCCAGGCTATACTAGATAGACTAGACTAGAGCACCACAGAGTGTTAGGCACAAACAGGGAGGGCGGTGAGGCATGGAACGTACTTGGTGCAGGCGCCCTTGCGGTATTTCTCGGCTTGAAAGCCCTTGGCTCCTCTGTCGTACCACAGGTTGGTGTAGTTCCCCTCGCCCTTCCAGTTCCGTTGATGCTTCAAACTCTGCTCAGACGCACATCAGGGCGGATACAGAATATACAGGTTACCGCACACGTTGTAAATCCAAAAGCGACATGTGCAGAAACAAACGTTTGGTGGTTACGTTGACGTAGCAAGGCAACCAAGGCATGCTTTGAGAAACGAACCCCACCCACTCACACACCCTCCAACAGCCTTCCTCCCAACAACCCCTATACCTCTTCCCCTTCCCCCTTCCCTCCCTTCTCTCTCCCCCTCTACTCACAGGTCGTTCGGCGTTGAGGTACCATGGCGCGGACGACATGTACTGCGGGATATGCGGATTGATCTCGTTGCCATCCTCGTCCAACTCGGCTGGCGCCAACCCCGCCTTACGCGCCTCTTCGAGCTCTTGCTGCTTCCTGTGATCCTCGCGCGACTTGAACGTGGCTGGATAAGACAAAAAACGGACAAGAGGGGAGGAATGAGATTTTAGAAGGATAAGGAAAGTGAACTCTCGCCTTACGCGCCTCCTCCAGCTCCTGCTGCTTCCTGTGGTCCACGCGTGACTTAAAAACGCCGCTGTTAGAAGGTAAGGAAGGGAAGGGAGAGGAGAAGTACGAACAGACGATGAGATAGGTCAACTAGCAGTCACAACGTCAAGGGCACGAATTAAAGAAAAATCTCTTCAAGGCACGCAAGCTAACATTCTGGGTCCTCGTAAGTCCCGAGGAGGGATACGGGAGAGACGCATGTCATGCCGTGAAGAACGTAAGGAGAAACGCCGAACGGCCGCACGATGCAGCAGAAATTATAATCCAGATGGTTCACGTAGGTGATTTTAATCGAATCATAGACAAATAACAAACAGTTCCATAAAGAGAACCCTCAAACGGTTAAATTGTTGACACGAGGAGACGAAAACTGATCAACGAAAGCACTTGGTACTGAGATTCGACGTTTAAAACGGATGTAATCAAGTTTTAAGACGGCACCTAACTAGCTCAGAATGTGTACAACGCTCCTCGCGTATACAGACTACGTTGCATCCATTCCTAAGACGTCTCCAAGCTCGGTCGGAATGCGTACGAACAAAGGCATCGAACAAAAGCATCTGACGAACAATCTTCGAGTATTACAGACTAGGTTTCATCCGTTCCCGATATGGCTTGAAACACTTCGAGTCTACAAGCTACCCAACATCCATAAATCGTCTGACAGTCATATAGCATCTCGGCGGCGAAAAGGCCTCACCTGAAGCCGTCGCCATGGTTCTGGATTGAAAACGCTCAGCACCGCAAATCGGCAGTCGCTGGCAAGTTACTAAGCAAAAAGCACGGAAGCTCCCAGGCACGCGATGACTACCACAGTTCGCAAATTCGCTTAGGAGAGAGAGGCGTAGCAAGCAAACCCTAACAATAGAGGGTAAACGGATGAGGGATGTGCAACGAAGTTCTATCAACTCTAAGAAGCAAAGAATCAACGGACAGAACCGTGAAGCAGAATGACTAGCAGACTCGAGTTTTGTTTGATAACATCCAGCGAAGCAAATCTCGAGGTTGGAAAACAATCCCGAGGCAGCGAGTGGCTCTCTGAGGCAGCGTTCCTGCTACAGGTTGCGTGGAGTCGAAGCACACTGGTGTCTGATACGAGGACCTAACGACGTTCGCTTACTTCCTTCGCGATCTCATGCAGGGCTAACGACAAGAAAAGCAACCAGCTGGGCCTCGTGCTGGTTCAGGGCCTGGCAGCGACTTGAAAATACGCGCTGGCAGCAGGACAGCCAAAATTGCGACATTATACACAGCCCCCTTACCAGCTTTAAGTCCAAGGCAATATAAACTAGTCATGAAGGTTCGTGAAGCTGGAATGGAGGATACAGCTGGTCAATGCATGTTAATCCCTCCCCCTTACCTCCTGCCCGTATCTAACCTCAATACCATTTTCCTTGATGTCTCTCAAATATGCATGATGATACAATTTCTCCGGATTCCTCCAACAATTGGGCTATCACTATAAAAAATTGATTGGCTTTCCTCATAATTAGTTTTTTTTTTTTTTAGATTGTGCATGGATATATGAACCATAATTTCAACTTCATTACTAGATACAGGGTGTTTTAATCATCACAACATATGTAGGAATTTTTTTATGTATACTTGTTACGGGTGCAATGAATCGAAGTAGCGGGAATTGCACTAAGGTGTCACACGAGTACAAAATGTGAGCGAATGCGTGAGCGAACATTTATACGCGAAACATGCAAACGGTAACGCGGTGCGTGCGAGCTAGCTAGTGCTATGCTGGAAGCGAGGCTCGGGCTAGTCCCAAAGCGTAGGCCGACACGGCCAGGCCAGCAGTGTGAGGTTTGGTGAAACAGTGCGCGCGAAGTTGGCGAAGCCCCGTTTGCAGTAATGGGCGAACAACGGCTGATGCTGTACGCGATGTTGCAGGGCGCGCTAAGGAATATCGAGAAAATTCCTTACACTACCCCCCCCCCCCCCCCCTCAAGAAGCCCCCTCCGCTACGCGAGTGCGTGTGTATCACGGAAACCCCGGCTCCTCAGGTACACTTGCAGGGCAGGGTGGTTTTATATGTTGGCCAGGGGCACCCAGCTATCTTCAGTTGGCGTCCGATCCTTCCAGCGAACGAGGAATTCAATCCTCTTGATTCCCGTGGGGTGTCGAATCCGATGGCTCAGGATTTCTTCGGGCTCGATGATCGGCTCCGATGCAGGGCGAGTCATGGATGGCGGGTGGTGACGAGGCAGTTGGCTTGTGGTTGGGATGTATGGGCGAAGTAGGCTGACTTGGAACGAAGGGCTGATGTACCAGTTCGCTGGCAACAGTAGGTGAGCTGTCACTGGGGTAATCATATGGTTGATTTGGAATGGTCCACAGTAGCGGGGTCGCAAATTTGGTACGACGGGCAGTCTTAAATTTTGTGTATCGAGCAGTACGTAATCTCCTGACTGGTACGTGACTGGGCGGCGGTGGCGGTCAGCGCTGCGCTTAGCGATGACATTGGCCTTTTTAATTGCTTCTGCGGCTCTGGTGCGGGCAGCTTGCAGAATTTCGGCAAATTGCTGTGCACGTGGTATTGGGTTGTCCGTGTCAAAGTTATTTTATGTAACTGCTTGTGGTTTAGGTGTAGTGTATTTATCTTGTCTTCTGATTGGTGGTGCACCTCTAGTTTCTTGTCTACATGTTGTATCTCTTTGCTATTATTGAACCATCCTTCAACTCGAACTCAACTTGTCCTACCTCACTAGCCATGGCTCCTAAGCCTTGCTAAGAATTTTGACAGTCCGGCGTCGGCGTCATGGGCACTGTAAGGTTTTGCCCGTGGTTCAGGTGGAAAGGGGACTGCTGCGTCGTCGCTGATGTGGCATTGTTATATGCAAACTCGATCAGCGGCAGCTGCTGCTCCCAAGTGGTCGGGTCGTCGCACGTGGCACGAATCAATTGCTCCATCGTCTGATTCGTCCGCTCCGTTTGACCGTCGGTCTCTAGGTGGTACGACGAGCTGAACTGTAGCCTTGTCCCGAACTGCTTCCAGAGTTTTTTCCAGAAGTTGCTGGTGAACTTCGTGTCGCGGTCGCTGATTATTGCGGCTGGTATCCCGTGCAGTCGAACGACGGCTGCGATGAACAGGCGAGCGGTTTCTTCGGCTGAGATTGATTTCTTGCACGCAGTGAAGTGTGCCATCTTTGTCAACCTCTCAACGACGACCATAACCGCGTCGCTACCCCCAGGGTTCGAAGGTAACCCCGTGACGAAATCCATGGTAACCTGCTGCAAGGCGCGCTCAGGCGGTGGAATCGGCTGCAACTGACCCGCCTTTCTTTTTCGTGAGCTCTTCATCACCTGACACGTAGGACACGAACCCACGTGGTGCTGTACGTCAGTCAACAGCTCCGGCCAGTAGTAATACCGTTGTAGTTGCTATCGCGTTTTTTCTACCCCGAAATGTCCCGAGGTAATCCCGTCGTATGCCTCCTGCAGAAACAGTCCCTCAGTAGTGAGTGCGCGGGTACCCAGATGCGGTTTGTGCCTGTTTTTACGTAATAGACTCCTCTGGCCTCTGCCAGCTGCTGTGAGTTTCTGGTCGTGAAAAATGGGTCGGTACTGTATCCGTGGGTGAATAGGCCTATTAATAGTAGGTTGGTTTGGGCGAGTAGGATGGCGTGGAGTTGGGTGGTGGGGCGTGTGAGTGCATCGGCGATGTTGGATGTGCCTTTTTTTTTTTGTTTTTTTTTTTTTTTTGGTAATTGCATTATACACCGAATAGGCAAGTGTACAAAAGCAAGAACAGTCGTAACTGCGCTTGGAGGCTAGGTGATAACCCGCCTCAGTGTAGCTGCCCTGGCCTGATGCTGCCCCTTCTTTGTCGCGTCCAAATGGCTGCAAAGCCCGCCTTCCACGTCCACTTCTTTGCGTTCCTGTCCCTGATTCGATCCAGAAGCTTCATCTCCTGACTCGGCCCTCCACCACGTGTCACCTTTTGCCCTGATGCGTTGTCTTTCTGCAGTTTCTCTCCCGCGTGTTTCATGAAGACCCTCGCATGCAGCCGAAACGCTGCCTCTATCCTCCATAGTACCCGTCTCAACCGGAATTTTTCCTCCCGGAAAGCCGCTTCACATCTCTCAACCCACAGCTGATGGATAGTGATCGCCGTAAGTGTTGCTTCTGGAAATGCTGAGCTGGACGCCGCTCGCCCAAAAAGAAGGTCGCCCAGCGATGAAATGTTGCGCCCGGGGTTAAGCATCTTGAGGGCTGTTTTCAAAGCTCCCAGCACTGGCTGAATCCTCGGGCACTCGAAAAGACAGTGCTCCATCGACTCTTCCTCGCAGCAGTACGGACATTTTGGCTTCGAACTGAGGAAGGCCAGCCTTTCACCGACCTGTAGGTTGAAATTATGCACCCCGATTAAAACATCTCTGGGGCGACTAGGCGTGGTAAGTGAATCACGGATCTTGGTCACCCGCTTCCAGTCAATTTCCCCCCCCCAACGGTTTGCCCACTTCTCCCTCCTCCGCGCCGAGTGCCCCTGTCTTCTCCATGCTAGCCGCAGGTGCTTAATCGGGGCGACTTGGCCGAGGTGAAAAATGGGTGTGCGGAATAGTTTACCCCCAGGGGCTACAGCTGCCTTTCCCCCCGTGCCTGCGCCCTGATTTCCTTCCGATGAGGCGAGCAGCAGCTCCCTCCAGTTCTCAGGCGCGGCAGCCAGCCCCTTCAGCGCCAGCCGAGCAGAAGCTGTTCCAAGCGACAATGCTAGGGTCTCCTCGCTCTTTACTGCCATCCCACCGTTCGCCATGGGCGCCACCAGGTCCCCCAGCTTGATCTCCCAAAGCGCCTTAGCAGCCTTCTGTCCCCCAACCGGCGTTCTCCCGTTAAGCAGAATGCCTCTGTTGAAAACCAATCTCTCTGCGGCAACTTCTGCTGCGGTGAGAGGCATGCTGACCGAAGCGAACGGCGACGCCATGAAACATTCGCAGGTTTGCTTCCATCGCGCGCTCCCCTCAACCCAGTGTTTTAACAGCTTCTCATGCGATAGGAAAGTATCCAGTCCCAGCGGCAGGCCTGCTGCTGCGAGCATCATGTCTCGTTTGAAATCATCCGGCTCGGTGAGCAGGATTCCGATCCTTCTAGCGGCCAGACAGGTGACCAGAACCCCCGGGTCCTTCACACCAACTCCTCCCTCCTCCCGTGTTGCGAATATTGTTTCCCTCCCCCACAGGATGAAACACCCCTCCTCCGACGCGTGATTGCCCGAGAGGAAATTATGAATCAGCTTCGATATCCGACCCCAGACCTCCTGCGGCGGCGGGTAAACCTGCGCCTGGAAGGCGATGATCGGGGTAATGTAACCATTGATGACAACCGCCCTCGCCGTAATCGTGAGGTACTTCAGCTCCCATTTCCCCATTTCCCCCAGAAGTCTCAGCAGTGTCTTGTCCCATGTCGCCTTGCAGTCGCCTGAGGCGGTGACCCAGACCCCGAGCAGTCTCTCCGCATCATTTGCACCGGCCCACTTGAAACCGTCCGGCCTCCAAGGACGACCTCCAAGATTTCTGCCCAGCGGCATCACCACCGACTTATCCTTGTTTGTGGCCAAACCAGAAACACGCTCGAAATAGTCCAGCATTTTCCCTGCCTCTGCAATCTGCTCCCTCCCCTGCAGCAGAAGCGTGGTATCGTCCGCATAACCCAGGTAAGGCAGCCTCCTCCCCGAGTCAGTGACAATGCCCAACTGCCTCTTCGCCGCTTCCTGGGCCAGAGGTTCCACCGCACAGATGAAAAGGTAAGGTGCGAGAGGACATCCCTGCCGCACCCCCGAAACCACCTCCAAGGCGTCGCTCTTCCATCCGTTAATTAACAGCCTTGTTTTCGTTTCCTTGTGCAGGCCCCTCACCCAGCCCACATAACTCGGAGGGAAGCCCATCTTCTCCAGCGTCTCAAAAAGGAAGCCCCGGGAAACAGTGTCGAAGGCTTTTTGGAAATCCACCAGCAGCAAAAACCAGTCCTTGTCCCCTTTGTTTGCAGCATCAATGATGTCCGCCACCAGGCTGACCGCATCTGACAATCTCCGGCCCGGTATGAAACCGTACTGCTCCCTCGAGATCACCCGGTGCAGCACCTTCTTCATCCGGTCCGCCACCACTTTCGCCAGTACTTTGTAAGTGAAGTTCAAAAGCGTAATAGGCCGGTAGTTGCTTATTTGGCCCTTGTCGCCCTTCTTGTGTAGCAAGATCGTAACCGCCTCCTTGGTGTTTGCAGGCAGCGATGCAGAAGCTTCGAAGGAGCGCGCCAGGCTCATGAAGCACTCTCCTAGGATGTCCCAATGCAGCTCGAACAGCTCTTTCGGGATCCCGTCCAAGCCCGGCGACTTACCGCACGCCAACGCCTTGAAAGCATTTTTAACTTCCTGCTCCGACCAATCCTGAGCCAGTCCCTCCGCCTCTTCTGCCGACAGCCTCCGGTCCGGTAACCAACTTGTTCGGTGAGTCCGTTTATCCGTTCCGAAGAGCCCGTTGAAGAAATCGGCAGCCGCATCTAGAATACCCTGCTTGTCGCACACCATCGTGCCGTTGACATTTAACTCAGCTATCCGCGTGCGCTGTTTCCTGGCCTTCACCCTTGCCGACAGGTGCTTCGAGACCACCTCCCCCTTGAGCTCTGTCCCATAACCAGCCATCAGATGGAGTCTGTCCCGTCGTGATGCTTGATACTCCCGCAGTTGACTCTCCTTTGCTCTTAGGAGCTCTCTCGTGCGTGTGCAGTTGGGAGCTCCCATGGCCGCCTGCTTTAGGTTTGCCACCGCCGCGGACAGGTGTCTCATTGTCGCCTTAACTCTCTTTCCTTCCTCCTTAGCATAGGCGCGGAGTCCCGCATTCAGTCGAGCCAGTAGCAGAACATAGTCCCCTCCTGACTGCTTCGCCGCTGCTTCAACCACTTTCCTTACCCCCGGTCTGTTGAGCAGGTGGGATGGAAATCTCCAGACACCCGGACCAAGCTTCGCGTTAGCGCCACAGCGGAAGGCCACTCTGATGGCAAAGCCATGGTCCGAGATCGGGTCGTCAGGTGACTTATGCGATGCTGACTCCAGGCCGAGAAGCAGCGACCGCGAGATCAGAGCACGGTCAATCCTCGTGCTGGACTGCTTCGCCATTGACTTGAAGGTGTATTCTCTCTTTGTGGGGTGTAGGATGCGGAAAGCGTCCGAAATCTGGAAGACCCCGCACCTGCGTACCAGCTTGGTGTTTCCAGCCGCTGAGCCTGCCCGTGATGTCTTGTCTAGAAAAGGATTATCTATCATGTTGAGGTCTCCCAAGATGAGGACGTGACTACCTGGGTCTATCCGATCAACCACTGGTCCGACAACATCCCTGATGAAACCGACCCGAGCTGCAGGCGATGCTGGAAAGTAAGTCGCTAAGAGAGTGATGGAGAGACCTTTACCTATAACCTCCGTCCTAACGAGTCTACCTGAAGGGTGAGTCAGTGCGTTTCTCAGCTGTATACCAGGATCCCAGGCGATGACAGCGACACCACCAGCCCTCTCTTGAGGCGTAACTGCTACGACTGAGGCTGCACCGAGTTTGTTCCAGTAAGAATGGTTCCCTGCCAATCTAGTGTCTGTGAGGATGTTGACGTCTGCCGCTGCTTTCATCCATAATGTGACCCATGATTGCTTCGTTAAATCCCCGAGCCCGTTCACGTTCAGGCCGGCAAATGACAGTACATTGTTGTTACTCATCTAATCACTCCCTGGCAGCCTTTATTCATCCACAGGCTGAAAGTTGCAACAAAACCGACTACCAGGAGACCTGCCGCTGCCGCCGCTGACCATGCAGCTAGAGTCCGTAATCCTTCTTGAGCAAGGCAAGGGTTGCCTTCTCCAATGTGACACGCGTCGCAGTACCCATCTTTTCCAGCTGCAGGAGATGGTTTGCCGACGCAATGTGGTCCGATGCCGTCATGAAAGACTTCCCCTTTGCTTTCCCGCAGCCCGTCTGTGTACATATCCATTCCTCCCTGTTGCAGCCCGTGGAAATAAGACCAATCGCCGGGTCCTGGAGAATAGGAGTGATCAGTGCGGAGGTGCGCAAGGAAGCAGCTGCGACAATGGACCCCATCGTTAGCATACGGAATGAAGTTGAAAGGTGGGGAGACGAGATACTGTTGCGGGAAAACACCACAGTTACCATTGATCCTATGCACCCTTCCCAAGGTAAGGTGCCACTTCCCTATGTTATTCTGCCGCTCCATGACGAACATATCATGATTTGAGTCATAATGATGCCCGCCACAAAGAGAGCAGGATAGCAAAGGGTAGTGGACCAGAATCTTCCTGCCGTTGTCTGTCGGAATGTTCACCGCCTGCCTCCACTTGTGCTTTTTTGTACGTGACCGTGTAAAGGAAGTTGGACTCCAGATAGTCCAACCAACGGATCTGTCGTGGGTTGAGATTCGGTTGGGCGCGAAGGTACTGTAGGGATTGGTGGTCTGTCCGTACTGTCACGTCTGCTCCCGTGAGGTAACATCGCCACACTTTGAACGCGTGCACGATCGCCAACATCTCGCGGTCGTGTATCGGGTAGTTGCGTTTGGGTGGGTGAAGCTTGCTGGACTCGTACGCGATTGGCTGAAGGCCGTTCCCGAAGTCCTGCAATAGTACTGCTCCCACAGCGATGTCGCTAGCGTCGGTGACGAGCTCGAACGGACGGTGCGGGTCTGCGATGTGAAGCACGGGCGGTGAGCACAAAATATTTCTAAGGGCCGAGAAGGCAGCTTGTTCTTTCTCCCCCCACGTGTACTCAACCCCCTTCCTCAACAGGTCAGTCAACGGGGCAGTCACCTTCGCCATGTCGGGAACGAACCGGCGCATGTAGTTGACGAACCTCAGAAAACTCTGCAACTCGGTCAAGTTGGTCGGCACGTGCCATGCTTGAATCGTTGCAATCTTTTTCGGGTCTATTTCCGCTCCTGCAGCTGAAATAATGTGTCCTAAAAACTCCAGTCGGTCCTGTAAAAACTCACACTTGGACGCTTTTGTCAGTAGGCGGTTCTCACTCAGTATCTTAAAAACTGCTTCGATGTCCTGTAAGTGCTGTGCTCTGTCAGGGCTGTAAATCAGTATGTCATCCAGATACACGATGAGGCACTTATCTAAAAGCGGGCAGAAGGCTTCGTTCATGGTCATTTGAAAATTGGCGGCGGCGTTGGTCAGTCCGAAGGGCATGACGGTGTATTCGAAAGATCCGTAGCGTGTTCGGAAGGCTGTCTTGGGGCAGTCGGGTGGGTTGACGCGAATCTGGTGGTAACCTTCCCGAAGGTCAATTTTCGAGAAAACCCGGGCTGTGCGCAGTTGGTCGATCAGTTCGTCGGCTCGTGGGATGGGGTAACGGGATTTTATAGTAACCCTGTTCAGTGCTCTGTAGTCTATGCACATGCGAAAACCCCCGTCATTTTTCGGTGTGAAGTGTATCGGTGCTGCGAAAGGTGACGAACTAGGGCAAATGAACTCCTTTTCGAGCAGGTAATCCAGCTGCTTCCTCAGTTCGTCCAGTTCGCGTTGGGCCAGTCGGAACTGTCGCTGTACTGTTGGCTGTGCCCTAGGTTCGAGTTCTATCCTGTGGTCGTGCGGTCGCTGAGGTGGCAATCTCGTCGGTAGGTCGTTCGGGAAGATGTCACAGTACTGCTTCAACAGTGCTGCCAGATCACTCGGTACGTCGGCTAGCCGTTTCTTCAAATCCCCCCCTTTGTCTGCTGCCTCGGCTTCCCGAATGTCAACCGCGTACACGTTAGCTCCTTCCGCTACGGCGCGTTTCATCGTGATCGCGTTGACACGCACCGACGAAGATTTAGGCGAGCCCCAGCGAGGTAAGGCGATGTTGTTACCGTTTACTCGCACAGTGCACTCACCCGTCGTCCAGTCGATTCGCGGATTGTGTCGTCGCAGCCAATCACGCCCGAGTAAAATATTGGTACCGTCGAGGGTCGTTGCGAGCATTTCCCGGCTAAACGTGAAGTTGCCCCCGCATCGAATCCGAACTCGGTCCACGCGTTCCCGTATCGCAAGTGGCGGGCCGTCGACCAGTCTTGCGTCAATCTCAGGTAAGCATCTGTCCAGTGGCAGTCGCAGTTTTCGTGCTGTGGCAGTGTTGATAAGGCTGTGGCTGGCCCCTCAGTCTAGGAAGATTTTAACTAAGTCCGTCCCGATTTTCCCACTAGGCAGTATAGGGCTGTCTACCGTAGTACCCTCCTTATTTGGCCGGGTGTAGTCGATTGCGTGAACCGGCACAATCACTCGGTGAGGGTTGGTTGAGTCGGGCGAGCGGCGTAACCTGTTAGTAGAGGGCCCGTCTGCTACTGACTCCCAGCGTTTCCCTGCTGCTTGGTCTGTTTGTGCTACTCAACTTCCCCCTTTCCCTTAGCATTTTCTGGGCATTCGCTCTTGCGGTGTCCCGGCCGATTGCACGCAAAGCAACGCCCTTTGAACGCTGCGGCTGCGGCATTTGCGGCGACGGCACGTATCGTTGCGCCCTCGTTCGTCCCATGAGGCCGATGTCCCCAATTGCTGCTTCCGTAGGACCCTGGTCTCGGTCGGCGGAAGAAATCGAGTTTCTCCGCCATGGCGAGAATCTCCGGTGACGCCGCGAAGCTGGATTTCCTGAGCGATGTCCTGCTTCAGGCCGCCGATGTAGCGGTCGATGCGTTCGCTCTCGTGCATATAACCCACTTGCTCGCATAGCGCCAGAAACCCGCTCGTGTAGTCTTGGACGGAACAGAGTTGGCGCCAAGTGCGGAGGCTTTGTCGCGCCGCGATCGATGCCGCAGTTGGCTCGAAACGAGCGCGCAGACCTGCGCACCACGCGTCCCACGTGCGATACTGGGGCACCTCCACGAAATACGACGGCGCCCAGGGTCCGGTTTGTCCTTCCCGTGTCGGTAGAGTCGCGTAGTCCACCGGCTTCGTGACGATGACACGCCACCAGTCCATGGCGGGTCCTCGCAGCAACGACACGGCGTAATGAATCTTCGCCGTATCCTCCGAGACGTAGTTCGTGTCGAAGAAAACATTGAACGTGAAGAGCCACGCATGAACGGTAGGACCACTCCGCTGACTTGGGTCAAAGCATGGCGGACGCTGCGGCTTCAGCGGCATCGGCGACGGTAGAGCTGATTCGCCGGCCGGCATCGAAACAATGACTCGAGGCTGATTCCTGGCCGCATTCGTCGCGTCGGGGTGTGTCGTGTCGTGGTCGTCGTCTCCGTCATGGCAGACGACGCCATCACTTGCGGCGCTCGCAGGTTGCCCCACACTTCCGTGTTGCGATGTCTGTGGTACGGGTTGAATCGGAGTGCCAGGTGTTTGGGATTGTGCTCGTGCGAGGTCGTTTTGCAGGGAGGTACGTTCCGCCGTTAACGTCGCAATTTCTTCGGAGTTTTCGTGCAGTTGTCGCAGCAACTCGTCCAGGCGGTCCTGCGTGAGGTTAGTGACGTCAATATGCTCTGCCATTCCGAAGGGCGTCGGCTCGTCTTAGTCTAGGCGCAGTCGTGGCTGCACGCGTTAACGAGAGAACGCGAGGATAGCGGCTCCTAGGTGGTAAGGTGAGTGAGTCCCTTCGAGTGAAAAAACAAGAGTTGATTTCCTGGGGTGCGGAGATGCGCGGTCCGAAACGGAAAGAGGCTCTGAATACTAAGTGTTACGGGTGCAATGAATCGAAGTAGCGAGAATTGCACTAAGGTGTCAAACGTGTCAAATTTATAATATTGTGTAGGCTATAGTGGGGTAGCTTAAATGGGGTACACATTTCTAGGGTTGCATATTTGTATCACTTCCATTCCTTAGTCATTCATTTTCTCGTTCTAAGTTTCTCATGGTATCAAAGCAGGTTCCCTCAAGGGAACTGTGCCTAGGGCCCACCACATCGAACCTTTTTTTTCCTGCCCGGAGCGCGCTCCCCGAGTCGCGCTCCCCTCTCTGCATTCGTCGAGCCACCCTAGCGGCCTCCCTTGCGGCCCCGCCGCCCTCACTTGCGGCCCCGCCGCCCTCACTTGCGGCCCGTCGCCGCCCTCGGTTGCGGCCCCATCGCCGCCCTCACCTGCGGCCCCGTCGCCGCCCTCACCTGCGGCCCGTCGCCGCCCTCAATTGCGGCCCCGCCG